CACATGCAGCTAATGTCACTTTCTGCAAATGATAAATTATAACAGTGGGTATGGTGGGGCTAGACAGTGTAGAAGCTCAGCCTACTGTGAATTATTAATTAGCCATTTTGTGATCTCTCTCCTTAGAGGTGCCTGCAGCAGACATCACATGCCCGTCGGTGCACCTTGTGCCAATCCAAAAATCAAGTGCTGTGCTTAATAAATATATGACCAATGGTATATAATTCAGATATTAAGGTTAATCTAACTTTAAGAGAGTTCTTATCATTTAGAGCATAGAAAATATTGTTTCCAAAAATAATTATTATAGACATATGACACACAATACCATTGTGAAAAACAGTATTATCATATTTTAGGGGATGTACCTAAGGATAAAGCCTATGCTTTTCATGTGTGGGGCCCTGAGAAAAACCCTCAGCACTGCTTCTTTAAAAAAAAAAAAGCATTTCTGGACAGATTTAATTTATATACTTAAAATATATCTGAAAGCATAGTTTTATGTCAGCAACTGAAATGCCATTGTTTCATATTAAAAAATTATCTGTTCCATAGGGATAACTTTTTCATTTATTTTTAGTATTTAATTTTCATAAATTGTCTAGAGCCAACTTGTCTTACCACTTCAACACTCTCTGCTTAGTGACTTGTAATAGGAGTAGGAATCTTGCCCACCCTCAGTCAAGACAAATAGTCTTTGTCTCATCAAGAGAGTCTGGTGCCGTGAGAAAAAAGCCAAAGAAGCTGGAACCTAAGATGGCCCATGGTTGTGGAAAGGGCCATGAGCAATGCCAACTGACCAGTGGAAACGGGAGAAGGCATTTCATGGAATACAGTGCAGTGACCATGCTGGTCTTGAGTTGGGTAAAACCTGGCCCTAAATGGAAAGTCCTGGAGGCTCAGTGGGAATGATGAACACAGAGAACAGGTGGATTAAGCTCTACTGAACATGAAGGTTGTTAAAATAAGTACACATATGACTATCTAGTATGAAATAAAGATCTGGAGAGGGTAAACACTGTATAATTTTATTAGGAATCCATTTAGCTCTTTTTAATGCTGCAAATACTCAAGGTCTCTAATATTAGTCTCATCTTCCACTCTCCAATCCCAAATTATACTATGAAAAAGATATTTTTCATTTATCCATTGAGTGACACAGTGTTACAGTGGGAGGAATTATAGTGTAAACGTCCTCTATTCAAGGGCAAATAGAAGACAGTTAAAGATGAATTGTAAGTAGAGAGAAGGCCTTGGATATGTAAATGTCTAAAGATGCAAGACCACCTTGCTGCCTTTGAAGAGCTCCATGCTCAGTGAGACTAGCACACAGGCATTGAACGGGGAAGTGCAGAGGTCTTGACACTGGACTTATATAGAACCTTCTACTGGACATCTTCAGTGTATGGTCGTTGGGCCACATGTGTTCCAGAACAGCTATGAACATTGTTTGACACATCTGTAGTAGACAATATCACATCACAATGTCAAAAAGATGGACACCCTTGTACCACCATAAGCTTTTATTAGACTCCAACTTTAGTGCTAAAATGCCATGAAAAACCATGGAATTGTCTAAGTGGAATTGTATCTTGAAGAACCACACTTATTGTCTCACATACACACACAACCAATTTACTACAAGGGAATAAAAGAGAATTATGAAGTGTTTTTATAATGTTCAATTAAAGTAGAATACTGGAGGCCTTTACATCTGGCTAAGGAGTTTCAAGGACAGGGTCTCTCTGTGTGAAACATCCACAAACGCAGACAAAATGTGAGAAACACGGAACAACAGTTTTCTATGTATCGCGCCTACTGCTATCCCAGGAAGAGGAGACACGGGGAGGTCCATCCTGCTACTGCTTCAGTCTCATGCCTGGTCTTTCAAGTCTCCATATATGGAAAGGGCACAGAGAAGGAGAGTGGCAGATTTCCTGGGTGGAGAAAAGAGAACAGAAAATCCAAGCTAGGGAGAGGCATAGAGATTATCATTGAGAAGAAAGCTTCACAGAGAGAGAATACTACAGGAGAGTATGAGTCTGAGTATGAATGTGAGGAGACCATCAAAGGCTAAGAAAAAGCATTTTTAAAACATTAAAAAGCATTAGAAGCTGAATATGGTGGTACACACCTGTAGCACCAGCACTTGGGAAGGAACGTGCAGGAGGATAAAGGGTTCAAGTTCCTTCCTTGTCTACCTACAGGGGTCAGAGCAGCCTGGAAGACTGAAGACCCCATCCAATGAGAAAGTAATGGGTAAGTAATAGAAGGAAGGAAAAAGGAAGGAAATAGGAAAAATGAGGGAAGGGAACATTTAGAGGAAGCCATCGATTTGTGAAACAAACTCAGAACCAAAAATAAGGTGTCTTTCCACCAACCAGTGTAACAAAGCACAGAACTGGAGAAATAATACACAACACTTGGAAGGGTTTGCTTCCAGAGTCACATAATATATGAGTTTTTATGGTGAGTCAATTGTTTTAATTAAAATAAGATCATAATGAATCAACAATATATGAGAAACTCGTTTGACGCAGTCAACGAGATTTTAATATTAACTACTCCAATAGGCTTATGGCATCTCACTGTGGCTTGGAATTTGTGTACTTCTGTAAGAGCTATGATGAACATCATTCGTGTTTCCCAATTGTATAAATCCATTGAAAAAGTATGTGCTTGACATTTTTACCTATTTTCTAATCAGATTTTTAATTTTTTTTTAGTTATTGAGGACCAGGATATCTGCTATGAGACAGTATCCTCTATAAATGACATGGAAGCTACATCCATGAGATTTCAGCAATGTGGTCATCTATGCAAGACCAATACGGTGACAATGGCAGTTCACATGCCAACACAGCTGGGGGAATCTCGCAAGGCCCCACTCTTCGAGGAAGAACTCCAAAGAGTCCGTGGCTGCTGACAGAACAAGATTCAGTCACCTACAGTGATGAGCCCCCTGGCAAGTTATCCTACCCTATGTGGCCAGCTCTGTACACATAGGAATAATAGTTAGAAGGGATACATCAAAAAGAACTCCCCTTTGTAGCAAACAGAAACCATCATTGAAAACCACAACTGATCGAATTTCAGAGAACAACTGATTTGTAGGATGCTTAGACCCAATGGATCCATCTACAACACAACTCCTACACCTCAGGCTCAGGGAACACTGCAGAAGAGGCCACGGAAAGAGTGTAAGAACCAGTAAAAGGCATGCACCTGCTGTAGATTTTGTCTCCTAGAATTGCAGGAAAGCTATATCCACAGTACTGCCACAATATGGTTGACTAAACAAGACCCAAACAATGACAACACCAGTAGACCTACTAATGTGGAAGGGAGTATTCCCTCTGGGCCCTGTCCCTAGATGGGGAACTACAGACTGACAGCTGAAAGAGAGACTTAGTCTTCTCTAGGGATAAGCTCCCTAAGTCTCCCTAACTGACTATACAATACCAAATGGTTAATCCTGAAATCATGTGTACACAAGTAACAATAAATAGACTCAGCAGGATGTATTTACATATGTATGTGTGTGGTGTGTGTGGTGTGTGTGTGTGTGTGTGTGTGTGTGTGTGTGTGTGTGTGTGTGTGTGTGTGAATCAATAGTAATTAAAGAAAAAAGATCAGGAATTTGAGATGGAGTTGGAACACAGGAGGAGTTGGAAGAGGAAGGTATAGAAATGATGGGAATGCAATACTCATTACTCATGTATGAAATTCTCAGAAAGTAAATAATAAATAAATAATAGCTTTTATTTGTTATGCATATGATTTCTTAATAGACTCTCCCAGTTACAGGACTCTCCCTGCTAATAGACTCTCCATCTTACAGGAATAAAAGATTCTTCGAACAGGAAACATTTAAAATTTTTGTGAAACCGGAACTCGTCTGTATTTTTCATGGAGTATGCTTTTTGTATTTTACCTAGGAAGTTTTTACCTAATCCTGATTTATAGGATTTACCTATTATGTTGCCGTATGTGTTGGACCAATGTTCTACTTGGAGCAATTTGGACAAAGTCCTGCACTTTGTTGTTACTGGCTCACTGGTGCTGCATGATCACAGATCATTAGTTAAAAACACTTGCTCAACTGTTGAATTATTTTCCTAGTGCTGACAAAAGTCAGCTGTGCACATTTGTACACATCAATTTCTCTATCTTATCACATTGATCAATGTAGCTGTCTTGCTGCGATGACTCTGTATTGTAAATTGGGTGGTGTAAGTCCTCTTAGACATACTTGTCTATGTCTAAACAACATCCTGTTATTAACTTCAACAAACAACAAAAATTGAGTTTATTCTACACATCAGATTGAAGAACATGTTCTATGAAATTATCAGAAACTTCCTCAAGTGAAAGCAAATATGTAAATAGAAAAGGACAATAACTCAAGAATTAGGTACAAAGATATTTAAGAATTTTTTATGATAAAATAGTGTTTAATATAATTTTACAATTGCGTTCACTGTTTACAAACAAAAGAAGCTAAATCCTCATCTCATAGCATCACCTGGAATGATTTGGAGGCTGCAATATTCAGATTTTTAATATCCACAATAAATAACTGAATGTAAGATAAGATAACACAAAACAAGTGAGAGTCACAAATAAACAGACAGACAGACAGAACAAGCAGGTGAGTCATACATTGCCCCTGGATATCTATATGGGCCTAGTCCAGAAGATCCCAAGTAGAACATAATTATTTAAATGAGTAAATGGGGTGAAAACTGAATTTAGGGAAGTTGAGGCATGGGAGGCTGCAGAGCAGAGTTGTGGGACTGAGGGATACACATAGGACTATGCATGGTGACCCTAGGGACTCCAGATGAACGCAAAGGCAAGGACACTACCTGAAAGCTTAAGGATGTGTCATCACCAAGAGGAGTTCAGGCCCTCTACAAGGCAGATGTCACAGCAGGATTACATGTGCTGAAGATTCCCTAAGACATATACCATGAGGAAAAGTGAAGATGCTTCAGAGGATACTGGTCAGTCTTCAAACAGAATGTTGATCTGGACCTTGGAGAAGAAGAAACGCTGGGATAAAAACTCTGCACATAATTCCCCCAAAAGTTCCAGCCTTGGTGGTGGGAAACCTTTGTGCCACCATCAACTACTGGAGCAATCTCATGCCTTCCATAATGAGCCTTGGTTAGTTCCCCCGATGTTCTCATTCCTTGGCCCTTTCTGTGAACCTGTTGTTTTATTCACAGAAACAGCTGAAGTGGCATATCTAGGTATGCCAATCTCAGTGGCACATGTTGCGACCTTTGACAACCGACTGCTTCATGTACATCATCTGCTTCGCTACAGTGAAACCTCTGTGCATTCTGTGCAATATCTTCTCAAGGAGAAATGGAGAAAATGGAGTGAGGAGAAATGGAGAAGGGCTCACAAGTACCTGGGGAACCAGGAGCTTTTCAAGAGAGGCTCAGTGGTTCCTTCCTCTATTGTCCTTTCCACATTCTCCCACAAGCTGAGCTCTCTTTTGACTGATCTTGGAGATGTAGCTGATGATGTGACCAACAATTTTATCACTGAGAAAGACATATCAACAAAAGAAATAACACAGACGGGAAAAGCAGTCTCAAAGGACATAAAGGCTTATTGTCTGGTATAAATGTGACAACTTGAATGAAGAAAAAATATACCTTCTATTAAAAACAACCAATGTTTGTTTGAGAAAGTAATATGAACATTAAATAGCCCTGAATTTACTAGAGACTTTTAATTGATTCTCAATTCACTTTACCACAAAGAAAATTCCAGAACAAAAGCATTTACTGATATCTATTAAATACTTTAAGAAAATAAAAAGTTGGTAATAAAAATGAATCATAGAAATTATATTCCCCAAGTGACTTTTATAGGGTCACATTAACATGATGTGGAAAACTGTCAAAATTCAAAAGAGGAAGGAAAGAGGTAGAGGGAAATATAATATCCCTCTGTAGGTAGGTAAAATCTTAGATATTAGTGATTCTAGTCAAATAACTCCATCAGTTACACAATGATAATGGGAAGGTGAAAAACTAGTGATTTTTCCAGGAATTCAATGTTGGGTTAACATTTGAAAGTTGATCATTGTAATTTACTAAAATAATAAAAATAAAAGAGGTAAATCACATGAAGAATATCTCAATAGATTCAGAGAGACAGCTACTCACAGTTTTCAATAAAAACAAAAACCCGAGAAAATGAAAATCAGGAAAAAAAATTCCTTACTCAGGCATTTAGCATCTATGAGAACCTATGGCAGATGTAATACACAATTCCAAGTAAGACTGAATGCTCTCACCAAACACCAGAAACAGGGAGTTCACGCTCATCCCCTTCACTCTGTACTAGAATTAGTAGTTAATGTGAACTGGCAAAAGTAACGCATATAAGAAATGAATCTTGAAGAGTCACACGTGACTCTCATCAGTATCTCTCATAGAAAGGAGCAAAGAACATACAAAATAACCATAAACTGAACCCATTCACATATCCTGTGATAATAATAAACATAAAGATAATAAAGATAATAAAAGTCAATTCTACTTCCACACAAAAGCAAACAACTGAAGTAGGTGTTGTGTTGAGTATTTGTTTAGATTTGGTGGGGATTTTGTTGTTGTTGTTTTATTGCCTCTTATTTTGGGGGTTTTGTGTATATGTGTGTTTTAGGCAGCTTCCCTGTGTAAACTAAGCTGGCTTCAATCTCACTACATAGCCCAGGTTACCCTCAGACTTCCATTAACCCTGCTGCCTGAGCCTCCAAGTGCTAGAATCTGTATCCCCACATTCAACTTGGAAATAGAAATTTAAATGCAGCAATTTATAAAAGCATGAGATGCTTAAGAATATATTTATTAAAGTATATTAATTACAATAAGGATTCTAAAACAGTGGCCAAACTTTAATAAATGACCCAGAGAAAGGAAGACATATATCACAATCATGAATTCATAGAATATATATTGCTGAATAATTCTCTAATTGCTATATCTTTTCAGTACAATCCAAGCAGAATTTTTAAAAATTAGGCTGATTCTAAAATTATAAGAAAACATAAGGGATCTATAATAAAAACAATATGCTTTATAAAGAACAAGATTAAAGAACATACATGACTTCATTTTAAGGCTTATTAGAAGCTACAGAAAACAGAATGTATTGTTCCAAAGATGTGTATAAGGGATAGATACTGTGGACTGAGTAGGTCTCTACATTTGAAATAATTTTGCTTGTGCAAAGGGGAAGATAATTTAAGAGGTAAATTTAATCTCTTCAATAAATGCCACTAGAATGAATATATATATATATGGTAAATCATAAACTTTCCCTTCACATTACACCAAGAAAACCATTTGTTTCATGTCTATTATGAGCATAAGTCTAAGCCCTCAAAATATATCATACTTAAACCCTAAGACACCATCATTGTGATACTGGAGGAGATGACAGGAAAAGTGTCATCCATGAAACACCCTGCAGAGCAGGACTTTGTCTCCACACCACTAGGTTTGATAGATGGTATAAGAAACAATCTGACAATAAGCAAGTTAATAGAAAAAGGATTTCATAAATCATTAGTTTTAATAGGCACTTGGGTGTCACCCAAAGAAAATGAATACTAAAATAGGCAGCCAGAAATAAAAGTTATGTACTGTCCTAATAGGATAAGAGGAGGGATCCACTTACCGTTGAGTAAGATGAACAAGCTCTCTAAAGAACAGGTGAGAGACATCATCTTTTGAATAAAAGCTGAAGAGTTGACTTGTCTTCTCCTCTGTTAGAAGAACCAGTGTTTCCCAGTTGTTAAAATTCCTGGTGAATGGATCATTGACTTGACACTTGAGTTCCCTTGGGGGGGGGGGTTCTGCCTTAACAGCTAAGAAGACTGAGAGCAAGCCTCTCTGTCAGTGTGCTGTTTCACAAGTACATTCAGCTCAAAATAGTCAATACACCAAAGCAACAGATTGGAGGCTGGAGTGTATTGACCCTCTTTCATACGCAATGTCTGTTCCTTAAAGACACTTCAAAAGAGGAAAGGAGCCAGCCTACAGGCAGACCTGTAATCACATCTTCTCTGTGGATTTCACGTCATGTATTCCCATCACACTTATCTCCTCCTCTCCTCAAATCTGCCCTCTGTCCTTACAACCCCCCCCCCAAATCAAAACACAATTTAAAAAGAAAAAAGAAAGAAGGAAGGAAGGAAAGAAAGAAAGAAAGAAAGAAAGAAAGAAAGAAAGAAAGAAAGAAAGAAAGAAAGAAAGAAAGGAAGGAAGGAAGAAAGAAAGGAAGGAAGAAAGAAAGAAGAATCTTGTTGTGGCAGCTGTAGTGTGGCCCTTTGAGTCATACAGCTTACCCTTTAGTCCATTCTCCATTCATCTTTACTTGTAAGTGGTCACTGCCACCAGTCAGTCTGGCTGAAGGCCTCTGGTTTCTACTACATTACTGATAATGGCCTCTCCTTGGGGCTCATCTTGGATATCCTGTTGTCCTGTGTCATGGAGGTCCTGCTGTTTGAATCTATTGGATTGTCCCCTTCACATGCCCCAACAGTTCATAGATTCAGTGGATGTTGGGGTGTGCCAACTCAGCCCCGGTTCTGGGCCTGGGTGGTAGGTGGATTGGTCAGCTTGTTAGCTTTCCCTCATTGTCACTATGTGGGCGAGCTCTCCAGCACTGCCATGTCTGGCTCACTCGCTGCAGCCTACAGCAAGGAGCAGGGCCAGTTCTCCTGCTCTCAGGCCCTCAGATCCAGAACCACTCACTCATATTGCCAGGGTTTTGTTTTGTTTTGAGACTTTATTTAATTTAATTTTATGTGCATTGATGTTTTGTCTGCCTTCATGTCTGTGTAAGGGTGTCAGATCCCCTGGAACTGGAGTTTCACATAGTTGTGGGCTGCCATATGGGTGCTGGGAATCAAACAAACCTAGGTCCTCTGGAAGAGCAGCCAGTGCTCTTAACCACTGAGCCGTCTCCCCAGCCCTTATGATGCTTTTCTGTGTTCACTCTTCACTTACGTGCAAGAGATGTGAGAAAAATATGGCAGTCTTTGGTGAGTCAACTGCTTCCTCCTTGTTTAGACTATGCAAACCAATCTAGACCATGGCAATACATGGCCACAAGATCATACATAATGGTTCAGTGGCAACTCAAAGGTGTGTAGGTGTTAGTGAGAGTTTCTATTGCTGTGAAGAGACACCATGACCAAAAAGCAAGTTGGGAAGGGAGGGGTTAATTTGGCTTACACATCAGGATTGCTGAAGTCAGGACAGGAACTCAGACAGGGCAGAATCCCAGAGGCAGGAGCCGATACAGAAGCCATGGCTTACTGGCTTGTTTCCCCTGACTTGCTCAGCTTGCTTTCTTATACAACCCAGAACCACCAGCCTAGGGATGGCGCCAACCACCATGGGCTGGGCCCTCCCCCATTGATCACTAATTGAGAAAATGCCTTACAGCTGGATCTCATGGAGGCATGACCTCAACTGAGGCTCCTTCCACTGAATGACTCTAGCTTGTGTCATGTTGACACACAAAACTTGCCAGTACAAAATAGTATGGACAGCCACCCAATGCTATCTATGCTCTAGTTGGCATATTCGATGAAGACATTACCTTACATGGCATCAAGTGTCTTGTAGATGTGATTAAGTACCTTGAAGTGACTATTCTGAACTGTCCCAGAAACTTATCACAAGGGACCTTAACACCAGAAGATAGAGGTGCAGTGAAGGTCCACACACTATTACTGAAATGACCTTCACTTCTATTGCTAGTTCTTAAGTTAAAGGAAAGACAACGTGAATTGTAAAAGGCAAGCCGTCTTTAGAAGCTGGCAAAACCCAAGCCACAGCCTCTCCTCTAGAGTCTCCAGAGGGAAGGCTCACTTGCTGGCACCTCCTTCCACCTAGTGGAACCAGCACTGAGTTCCTCCCTAGAAGATAGTGCCACCATGCATCTGTGTCACGTTGATGTTACATTTTATAGGAACAACAAGAAGTCCATACAGGATAAGGAGATCAAACAGTAGTTACTAGGTCATTGTCCCGAGTGAGATACTAGATGAGGACCCAAAAAGAGGAAAGCTAGTTCCCAATGGGACACTGTTCAGTGAGTGGAGCACATTCACAAAGAAGATCATAGGACTATGTAAGACTATGGGTCTTTCTCTCTTTTGTAACTAGATAACCCTGACGTGAAGAGGCATCCTTTGTCATATGTTCCACCACAAGGTGTTGCTGCCATGGTATTAAATGGTTGGTCTTGGGCTTAAATGTCCTAAACCATTTCTTTTCTTGTAGTGTGTATGCAAGTGTATGCCTGCATGAATGTGTGTGTGTGTGTGTGTGTGTGTGTGTGTGTGTGTGTGTGTGTGTGTGTGTGTGT